GCAAAACTTGAAGTTTCAGCTAATCTGTCATGTAAAATTTGTCATTGATGAAGAAAAGTGTCCTACATAACATAAAAGATTGAGTTACTCATCTCGATAAGTTAATTTTGGTGCAAAACTTGAAGTTTCAACTAATCTGTCATGTAAAATTTCTCATAGATGAATAAAAGTGATGAGAACGGAACGACTTTATTTGTACTTAAATCCGTACTTATTTAGATCCAAAAGGGGAATTACGTGTGTGAAATGACTTAAAAGTAAATTCCTCAAAACAATTTAAAATATCTTCCATATATAGACAACATTTCACAAAAGGAAAGATAATGGATAATATTTTAAACTCTGACCCATTGTCTATATATTTTATGTAGATTCATTGAAGCGTGGGCACGAGGGAGATCTCCACATCCTATTAATATAATATAGAATGTAGACAAGTCAAAAATCATAATTAATTTACATGCGAAAACAAATCTATAGATTTGCATATCAAAAATCGTGATACACGCGTCAGCTCTGTACGTACCAGGAAAACTGTCCAAATGTGATGGGACTTTTCTCGCTCGCTATCACAAGGGGACATCCGTCCCCCTGGCACGTACAGGGCCAATGTGACCCTGTAAGTGCAGCATTATTGAACTATAATTTGACATAAATGCAATGGACGATTTTTATATCTAGCTACTTGCAAAGTACACCCCAAAAAGGCAATATGTTGTGCCCAACTTGTATAGGCTACTGGCTAGGAGATTTATATTTAAAATAGGGACTAAGAGTACACGTCGTATTAAACATAATTGAGATATGATTTAAATAAATAAAAGTCGAAGTTATATAAGTTCTTTTTCTTCGAAAGTTCGTATTCCGACGGCCCATCAAACTATCTAGTTAAGTGGACTTTCATAATAGCGTGTCCTTGATTATTCAATCGAGCAATTAATTAAAAGATAAATCTCACCTGCACGTTAAATGAACGTGTCAAGTACATAATTTAAATAATTAAATATATCCCTTCTCTAATACTTTGTTCTTATATGTGAAGTGGTTCAATATAGTATAGACTCGAACACGAATAGAAATGGAATCGATCGATCGATTTAGTTTTGCAATTTGATCTTCTTATATATTTTCTCAATGTTTGTTTGTGCACCCCACTAATTTCACAATCCAAAATATCTAGTTACACTTGTGAGTTGCGCATTACAGAACCCCTTTGAAACTATTAATTACAATTAGCTGGATGGCGAAATTGTGGTGAGACGTGGATGCAATTCTATAGACTCCAAGTGGTTGCTAGTTCAATTTCATAGACCACCCAAAATAAATAAATAAATAAGATGATATAATAAAAAACATAGAGCTAACTTGAATAATTAATTTTAAAATATTTTTTATTTCATGTTACATGACAAGTTGTAACTTCTTGATTTGATTATTTAAAATATTTAACAAAATAAGTAACAATAAAAAATTAAAAAAATTTATTTTAATGCACATCTTTATTTCTCGTAAACCGAGCACTATCATTGATCAAATCCTCTACAACACTTATTGCCGCTGGGCTAGATAGCGTTGTTCTCGAACTATAATTCTTGGACACACTTTCTTACGAGTGGGGAGCTTAATATGTGTCGTCGTGCTTATTGATTTATTCTTTCTACTCTCTAATGCTTTAGGCTAACAAAAAATAAAAAAATGAAGTTATATGAGGAAGTCGTGGCCTTGGCACACATTATAGCTTATTTTATTGCTTTTGGTTTTTATTTTATTTTTATTGACATGCACTTTAATTATGTACGAGTAATTAGATTTTCTTTTATTATAATATGATTTCCCTTTTTAGTTTTTCTTATTCAAACTCAAAACGAGAGAACGTGTTTTCACTGTTTTAAAAAATCGAAACTAGAAAATGGTTTGAAAATGGTAAAGAAGACAAACCCAAATTTTTTTTTTTCTCGATAAAATGGATGGTGATACAAAATGATGGAAGCATGATGGCTCATTGAATGAAGTGCTCAAATTCCTTGCAGCATTAAACCCAATTACTAACAACTTGTAAAAGGAATAAATGGGGTGACGGGGTGGGTGGAGTGCGGCGGATTTCAATTGGGGCGCGTAGGTTCTAGATTCTCATTAGAATTGCACTTACATTGAAGGTAAGAGTCAAAGGAGAGATGAAGGGATTCCCTTGTGAATCCTAGAATTGGAATCATAAATCGTAATCAATCATTGTTGACAAATGTAAAAGTCCAATTTCATTTAGTTAAAAAAATTAATAAAAATTCAACTCAAAATCAGTTATTAATTTAAATTATTATTTTTAGGGTCTGTTTGATTGCAAGGGTGGAAAATAAGTGGAAAGAAAATATTTTATAGGGAATTGATTTTCCTAGAAAATATTTTACTGGGAATTGTAATTAATTGTGTTTGATTGGTATAATTTTCCATGGAAAATGTTGAAAGTTTGGTGTCCATTTGGCTTCTTTTTTTTATGGAATTTGTCTAATAAAGTGATAATTTTTTCTAC